AGTCGCTAAATCTAGCTACAAAGTAGCTAAATTGGCAACACTGTTTGAGTGTTATGCCACTCAAGAGTTCAGAAACTGCACCTATTTTTGTTGGATTTTTTTTAATGTTTTGGTCTCAGAACTTTGGTAATCTGTCTCATGAAGGACCACTGGTGTCAAATGTCTGCCTCCTTTAATTCATCTAGCGTTGAGTGAATCTGTGACGGGTTGTGAAGGTTTTAGCCTGAGGCACGTGAGAATATGTTCCCTGCAGATCTCCACACTCACACACAAGTTTCTCTCAGGTTCCTGTCTGTGTAGATTGTGGTGCAGGTGAGCGTCTGTCATGATTTTCAGTCACACTTTTGTTGGACCCTTCATCGACTGGATACCAAACCAGAACGTCGCGTCACGGTCGAGATAAGGTGGTGTATACAGGCTGCTCCCAGTGTGTTGGGCTGTGCGACTGCGGCACAGAGCCGGGATCTGGAATGGTGGTGTACAGGGGCCTCTGCGAAGGGCCCATGTAGGAGAAGGCGGAGTAAAGGCCAGAAGTCTGGCTAGAGTGGGCGTAGTACGAGCCGGACGCCTGGTGCTCAGCGTATTCGGCGAACTGGGCACGGGACGCCAGCGAGGGGAAGGCGGTGCTGTAGTGTGGCAGGTATGTGACGTGTGACCCGCTCGCCGCGTCACTGGAGAAGTGCGTCTCGCTCTTAATCTGTGTCTTCCCACCATCTGATCCCAAGTGCTGCTGGGATGGCAGCTGCTGCTTGGAAAGCCAGGCGGTGGAGTGACCGCTAGCGGCTGCCAACGCACTGGAGATGCCGTAAGTGTACGGCGAAGCCGAAGACCCAGCGCTTGTGCCACTCGATGACTGCGGGTGCCCGTTGGGCGGCAGGTACTGGTCGAACTCGTTCACGTCGAACGGCTCCATGTTGGCCATCACATCATGGCTGATCTCGCCAATGTCCACGTTTCCGAAATCGATGTGCGGTTTTCCGCTGGCGGATGAGGAGGCGGAGCTTCCGTCTGCTCCCACCCCCAAACCGCTCCTGGAGGCTCCGCCCTCACGCTTCCCCTCACTGGATTTACCGCCCTGCAATTCTGTTTTAGGAGTGGTAGGGGGCGTCGGAGGGCTGTGACTCTGACCTGAAGGAACAAATGTATGCTTTTTAGAGGAGGAAGTTTGGGGTCGGTAAGATTTTTTATGTATTTTGCTCACCGAGGCTGCATTTATTGAATCAAAAATACTTTTCTAACCCTATAAATTAGTCACTGTCACTTTTGATCAATTGAATGCGTCCTTGATGAATAAAAGTGACCCCAGATGTCTTAACAGCAGTATCTCACCTGTAGTGTGAGGGTGGTGTCCGTCGCCCAGTGGCGATCCTGCATGTACCACATCCAGATGCAGACTTTTGTAATGCGATTGGCTGTGACTGACCTCGCCCTCAGAGTGGCCGTCACCCTCAGAGTTGGTTCCCGGTTTGCCGTTCTTGCGTCTACGTGGCTGGTACTTGTACTCGGGATAATCTTTCTTATGCTGCTTCCTCAAACGCTCAGCTTCCTCGATAAACGGCCTCTTATCCGACTCGTTCAGCAGCCTGAAACACACATGCAAAAAAGGATGATCTTTTACACAGTATGTAATGCAAAAACATTAATATATTTTAAAATACC